TATATATATATATATATATATATATATATACATACACACACACACACACATATACACACACACACATATACACACACACACACACACTCACCTAAAGGATTATTAGGAACACCATACTAATACGTTGTTTGACCCCCTTTCGCCTTCAGAACTGCCTTAATTCTACGATATGATATTATGATATTTATTTTACATTATTTTTTCAATGTGCAGATAAGTGTCGCAGCTTTTTTTTTTATTCACACACGTCGAGAGACACATTGTCTTTGTACAACAACTGTTCCTAATTGTTGCTGCAGTTTAAAAAAAAAATCATTTTTAATGGTGTACTAAAATTGCAATGAGCCATAAACCCAAAAACAAGGTTGGTACCGAACTGTGAATTTTGTGTACTGTCACACCCCTAACACACCCCTAACAGGAACAGAAGCCCCCGGCTCGGTGATTTCGGGGGGGGGGTAGCATCCTTCCCGGGCTGATGACGCCCTGAAACTCATAGTCCCATGAACTGCACAGGCGGGCCAAGGCCCAGACGACTCCACAGGCCCATTTAATGGGGGAACAGGATGGCTGGGGGGGCACTGTGGGCTCGGGGGGGGGTCAGGGACAGTCTGTGAAGCAGGTTCCTCACTAAGAACTGACACCTCCCACATGGCCCAGGCAGAGACACGACTGCAGGGGGGTGGAGCCAGATCAGCACAGTGCGGCCTTACATCGACCCTAGGCTGGCGTCCGGCCTCCGGCTCGTGAGGGGGGAGGCGCATCTTACGCAACACATACTGAGAACTGTCTCCAGACCCAGACTAAGACCAGACCAAGGCTTGGTTAATTCAGAACCAGGACCAAACCCAGCAAGCTGCCACCGCACCAAATGCAGGGTGGCACCACAGTGAGGACGCCTGGGGCCTCAGAGCCGGAGGGCTTTGTGACGGCAGTGTTAGCGAGCCATCGGCCACACAAGCACGCGGGGGGTGAGGTGGGTGCGTGCAAAGAGAGTCTCATTATCGCCTCCTTGCTGCTCAGATATTTCACAAATCTAAGAGATTCAATGAGCACCTGAGAATGTGGTCAAGCAGCACACTGGGTTACCAGCTCCATGATGAACTGCCCTCAGTCCGGTCAAGGTCGTCACAGGTCACAGGACTCACCCTGACGAAGTTATCCGGGAAGAAGCCCCTGCGGCCAGCCAGCTCTCCCTCCCACCAGCCGCCGTCATCCTTGCGGATGTTGCTGATGATGTCGCCGACGGCGATGGTCAACTCGTCATCGTGCTGGGCCCTGTAGTCGAATTCCACAATGGCCTCCACTGGAGGGGGACGTCAGGAACAGAGCAGCTTATTTACTGAGATTTACCTAACTAGCGCCTGCCCGACACCCAACCCCAACCATCACAGGAATCCCAACAAAGCTCCATGGCTCTCGTAAACCCATCCGGTTCTGGTCCCGTGTTCAGCTCAGACGGTTCTAAGAAAACGCACACTTTCTCACCTCACACACACACACACACACACACACACACACACACACACACGGCATAAAGGAACCGACCTGTACCCGAGCCGTACCGCAAAGAGAGACTAGTTACACCATGGTTCCAGCTCGCTTTGGGTTTCCATTGCAGAAGGCTCGGCTTGGTAATGGTGTTGCCTGGACTGGAGAGTGACAGTGACATAAAGCCTAAGAGACACTTGTGTACTATTCATACGGTGTACATCATGATCATACTATGTGCAATTATTATTAATAATATTTTTTTTATTGTGTGCTAATTTCCCTTAGAACTGTCAGTGAGAATCACTGTCTTATGTTAGCATCAAACACTAGTGGAATTAGCATTCCCTTGCGTAAATTTGCATTACAAATCCATTCTGTTCAGCTGTTCCATAGTACTTTTTAAGTAGGAAGTTGGAAATTCTAAAGATCTGAATTATTGGGAATGTATCAGTACAATACATGCGCAATACTATTAATATTGAATGATACATAGAATATATGCTTTTGCCTTCAAATAATCCATGCAATCAATCAGATGGTGGTCACACAACCAGCTCAGTTTGGTCACGCTTTCGACCCTGATAGTAAGCTGGGCTGTCCCAGTGCAGGCACGGCTTGGCTCTTGGTGGCAGTGGAAAACCACCAATAGATAGATAGATAGGCAGACAGACAGACACACAGGCACAAACATAGGCACAGGCCTTCTTCCCAGAAAGGTTCTCAGATGGCCTGCAGCTGAAACGAGGCCAGTCTCAGTAACAAACAGGAAGTGTCCTGCAGATGGCCAGTGTTTACAGACTCCCCCCCCCCCTGTATGCTGTGTCACCCCCCTCCCCCCCATCAGACCACAGACTGTCCAGCATGGCACCTCCCCTGGGGATTTACATAGCCCGGAGAAGGGCATGTTGGTTTATACACAGTGCACTGCATAGGGGGTGGGGGGGGGGGTGTGTGAGGGTATGATGGTGCCACCTCAACCCCCCAAAGGCAAGTGAGGAGCTGATCCACCCGTAATAAATCTCAGCAGTCCAGAGCTTCCTGCATCCTCACTTCCTCTTCCTGCATCCTCACTTCCTCTTCCTGCGTCCTCACTTCCTCTTCCTGCGTCCTCACTTCCTCTTCCTGCTCCTCTTATGAGAAGCCAGCTCCCTGCGGAAGCTCCAGAGGCTATAAATCCTCTATCAGCAGGAATCTGAGGTCGGCAAACCCAACCCACCCGTGCAAAGATCTGGCACCCTCCCTACAGAAACACAAGGGGGCCGCCAAGCCTGATGCGGTTCGGCTTCAAATTGACACTCAGGCTGAACCCTTCAGGTCTGCTGCTCTGTGCTCCATGACCCTCCGACCTGCGGGGCCCAGCACTCAGTGACGGTGAACAGTGCTGCACGAGGCCTCATCACCGCACACCCTGCCAGATCCCGTCACTGGGCACTCTGTCCAACCCCCTGCTCTTGCCTCACGGACACTGCTCCTCTCTCTGGGGGCGTCTGCGAGCCTCGCCGGCTCATTGTGGAGGCATACAGATACAGAGTGTGAGCTAAAGAAAGACACATTTAACCATGGGGGGGGTGATGCATCTGCAGCCTGGAATGTGGGGCTCCCTGTCGCGGGTCGCCATGCAGAGGTGCAGCGCCCACCTGCCCCCAGCCGCTGCGGGATGAGCGCCTCCCTTGTACAAGAGCACACTGCCACAGTGTTGCCAGCTGCCTTTTCACGCTGCACAGGCCCCCACTGTTCCCCGCGATGCCACCCTCCCAGGAAGTGATGGGACTGCAGGCAAGCTCCACCTCTCACCGCAGTGACCCCACCAGCGACAGCTGTCAGGACACACAGCAGGTCCTCCGTCATCTAAGAGATGCCAAACCAGCCCCTCCCTCCCAACAAATCTCAACACACTAAGCTCCTGCGATTGCTCCTTCACACTCAGGCCATCACGTGAGCCGGCCTTCCTGCGGACATATAACGGGGGCCTTTCCCCTCATAGGGACACGCCATGGCGTATTCTGGTGACCCCCTGGTCTGGTCTTACAGATGACCATTAAAGCCAGTCCTCTCCCAGCAGATGGAAAGTTGTCATGGAAACATCACCATGACAACGCAAGCATTCTGAGTGATGAGCACCTATTCACCATTTACCATATTAATCTTCCAAACAACTTCAAATCCTGCCCAGGGTGTCCCCAGCAGTTGCTGGGACAGGTTCCAGGTTCTCCATGACGCCATGCTGAATACGCACCCATCTGAGGTAACCAGACTGACAGGGCCTAACCTTTTGCATGGTCTGCCTCTCCGCAAGCACAGACCCCAATGACGCCCTCGCACAGTCACCAAGGAGCAGAGGTATCAGGTGGCTCAGTGAGTCGGGGGGCAGGAAGCGAAAGGCCACCATCTCAAGCTTCGCGGTCCAAGAGGCAATGAGCGGCGACTCTACACCGTGTACGTACGTTTCAGCAGGGATGCAGTCTGTAACCCAGGAAGAGGATCATGACATCGTGGGTTAGAGCCTACACCCTACAGTACTCTCAAAGGAACATCCCTCTGGCGTGAGTCACAGGCCAGCTGGCCCAAGATAACCACGCTGTCTCAATTCCTTGTCCCCTCCTTCCACTGCATTTAGGGTCAGGGTTTACACAGATAAATTCTCACTGAATAACCCCACACCACTCTTCCGGGAATCTAAAGGCCACCGCAAACCCTCAGCATTTGCGGAAAACGGACACTCTCACAAACAATCAGAGAGAGCAGTATAGTCACCTGATTGGCTGCCTGAGTAATGCGGACCTACAGCCACTCAGGCCGCACAATTATCAGATGTAGAAGAACAAAATAAAGAGGAAATGACTACGAAATGCAGAAGTGCAGGGGAGAGTTTTTTATGGAAAGGGGAAGTCTGCTCTACAACATCCTCTGGCAAAAACAGGCCCTGCATCCCTGCTCAGCGGCAGAGGCTGCGAGCTCTAGCTTGAAGTGACCTTCAGGGCAGGACTGAATTTTACACCAAAAACCGTTACGGCGCACAACAAGCATGCGCCTTGTGCTGGGACCTTGTGCCAACACTACAATCAGGAGCCTTGTTTATTGAGCTGATGATGCTCGTGATGAGAGCAGCCCATGATGGTGAAAACACACACACACACAGATACACACACACGCACACCGACTTCACCTTCAGCACCTCACTTCTTCAGACGGGACTGAATCAGGGCGTCCACATTAACCAATGAGAATACAGCTTCACAGAATTGATTCAGACCATCCTGAATCCCCACACAGCAATGTGTGGTCAGTTACATTACACTCTGAGCTTCACTTTTCAACCCTGGCTAATCCACCCACTGAGGTAATTTCTGTCCTTATTAATATTATTAAATCCAGTTCAAGACTAAGAGCAGATTTGTTTAAATTGTTAGCCATCCATCCATCTTTCATAACCACTTATTCAGTATAGTATTGCGGTGAGACTGGAATCCATTCCAGGAAGCCAAGGGCACAAGACTGGGGATGATAGTCCATCACAGGGCTCACCCACACACACACCCAGAGACAGAGAGACACAGAGATACAGAGACACCGAGACAGACATAACGACACAGAGATTTTTATTTTATTTTTATTAGTGATTATTTGTCATTGTTGACACACCACAGCACAGCACACACAACGAAATGTGTCCTCTGCATTTAACCCATATGTGACTTTCGTGACAAAGCAGTTGGCAGCTAATTCAGTGCCCGGGGAGCAGTGCTTGGGGACGGTACCTTGCTCAGGGTACCTCAGTGGTGTCTTGCTGGTTGGGGATTTGAACCTGCAATCTTCTGATTACGAGTGCGCTTCCCTAACCATTAAGCCACCACTGCCCCTACCCACCACTGCCCCTACTATATACAAACACATACACCCCACGAGACAGACAGAGAGAGACACACACACATAGACCTACACATACAGAAACACATACAGATCTGCACATGCACAGACAGACACCCCTCGTGTATTTGTAGGATTCTGAAGGAAACACCAGGAGAACATTCAGCCTTGACATGCACAAATCCAGTGGCCAGACCCCTGGAGGTGTGAGATCACCCAGGGGGCTAGTGTGCCCTTCCTCTGCAAATGTGAAGAAGTGACACCCCCCACACCAGGACAATGGCAACGGGGGTGCTGGGACCCCCCGGAGAGAGGCAGGATGGGTCGGTGACGTGCAGAGAGACTCCCCCACGGAGACCCATTGCTGCCAGCCTATCGCGTTAACGGGCATGCAGCCTTTCTGTGTGAAGACGAAAAGAGCTCCGGGCAGCCCCAGCAGCGATAGCACACAATAAGGGACCTTCCCCTCCATGCTCAGCCATGTACCGCAGTGTCCGTCCCTGCAAAATAAGCCTTCAGCCAAAGCAAACCCAGCAAGCGGGCTGGGAGGGGTTTCCAGGGCTCGCGTTGTGTAGCCACCACAACAGAATTTAACTACTAAGGGTACACGAGCGTGGGAGAACAGACGGACCTGTGCATGTACCGGGAAGCGTGCGATGCCGTGGCTCTGTGCAGCATCAACCGCAACAGGCACGACACAGGCTAAGCGGGTCACCGAGCGCACGGCGCTGCCACCTAAAAATACAGGAGGCGGGGAGGATGCAGGTTCACACGCAGATAAGCACTTACGGGCATCCTGCAGACCAGCTGGGGCACATTAATAATGTAAACACGGTGTCATGGATGTGCATTTCCCCGTCGATGCGGGACATATTTCCTCCCTGAGGTTTGTCCCAGAAAAAAAATGTCCGAGGGGCGACAAAGCAGAGAGAGAGCCTAGGGGGGCTTCACCAGGTAATCAGACGTGGGGGGAAAAAGCAGCAATACACTTATTGTACGTGGGCAACGCAGCTCCGGGGGCTTAATTATAGTCACCACAGTTACCTCGCGTGAGAGGAAATAACAAGCGACGATGCCACCCAAAAGGAAAAAAAGAGTGACAGGCGCCCCTGTGCCCTGCCAGCCCAAGATGCACGGTGATGGAGCGGAAATCATGCATACCCGTACGACCAATAAATGAAATTAATGCATTAAATAGCGTGATTAGACGAGAGAAAATAGCTAATGGCCGTATGCAAGGTCGGCGTGTGCAAACCCGGCGTATCCCCTTCCTCCCAACGCTTCGCAGCGTCCCGGCCGCAACGTGAAAATGCAAACGTGTCAACATCTTGAACTGATCAGCGAAGCGCTCAGCCTAAACGGGGGAGCGCCTCTCATTACCCATCTGCGGCCACTATAAAATGCTCGCTTATTAACATGCCTCCATCACGTCCGCAACACGGAAAAAGCACAAATATTCACGAATTTATGGGCTTAAATCCAGATTTACAGAAAGGTGGAATTTAAAACTTACCCATTTATGTTCACTGCAGCCTTCAAATCCTCGCCCGGATGAACTTCGTTTTCCTATTTTTCACAATGCGATGCTTTGCAAATGAAAGAAAAATGTAAACTGGCAGGTATGCGTTACTTCGCACCGAGGGAACGAACTCTGAGACCCAGCCCTGGCTCGGCGGAGGGAGATTGTACCGCTATCTTGCCGGCGAGTGGCGGGGCAGCCCTGCACTACAGCCGTCCGACATAGACCGTGTCACCCTGCGAGGGTGCAGCGTGAACAGACGTATACCAGGGGAGACAGCGCAGCGGATGTGTACCGCTATGCACGTAAGCAGGAGCGCAGCTCGCCTACCCCTCCTGCCCCCCCACGGAGATGCGCGTGAAAAAAAGAAAAGGAAAGAAAGAAAAGGGGGGAGAAATAGAGTCTCGCGAGAGCAGCCGAGGAAGTCCCGCGCGCGTCAGGGCTGCACGAGACGCAAGTGGCCGGTCATCTGGAAGGAGATGGAGAAGAGACAGTTTTTCGCTGAATAACGTATTCTGTGAGTTAATAACGGAGTTTTAATTGCCAGAGACGCTTTGAGGGAGCAGCGGGCTGAATAAATAGTCCCAGAAGAACCCAGCTATACAGTACTCCACACTGTAGGAAACATTCCCAGTGTGACTTAGGTACAGAATGAAATACGCCTTTTCTTTTGGGGTTAAATTCAAATAACATCAGTATTAGTGTAAAATGACAAGAACAACATTAACAAAACTAACAAGAGCGGCATCAACCACTTTATGCACACTGTTATTCACCCGGTGTTGTAACGCCAGTAATATATTGTGGCGTTTTGTCACCTGTAAGGCTAAAGATAGAAAATTCTTCAATCCCACAGGTTTAACGCTCTGTGCTGCCCCCTCTGGCCAGTCAGCATATTCTCAGAGGCCACCTCAAGGTGGGCTGCAGAGTGACCTCAGCTGGTTGTCCTGTGATGAGCCAGGACCCTTTGGAGGGAGACTTTGATCAGACCCTCCCCAGGACTAAACACAGCTTTTTAACAGTGTGCATTTCATAATCACACACCTCTAAATTAGCATTGTGACATGCAGGCTTTGCTGTTAGTTAGTGGGTGGTTTATCACACATCTTGGCTCTGTCTGATACACACTTTGTGACACTACTTTCTCAAACAAAGGAAAACCATTTCCTCACTTTCAATTTTTGTTTTTTTCTTCTTCCAACTTACAAAGCAGAAGAGCACAGCGGAAATGCATGCTGCAAACCTGCATTTCACCAGACACCTGGCAGTGCCTGTGACACACAGAGCAAGCTGATCTCGTATGAGACAGAATTCCAAAAAAACAGGTAACCCCTCGATTCCCAGTTCTGCTGCACCCCTGTATTCTTTTGCCAAAATTCACAGTCTGCATGGACAGCACCAAAGTCTACAGGGGTGTCTCTTCATACTGATAAGAGCACACCGTCACAGGTAGGTTATTTCTGCAAAAGAAAACAAGCACATTTTATACCCCTGATTCTCACTGTTGCCAGAGTTTTGTCTGCTGCATGGTAATGCTCTGTTTGTGCTTCTGGTTGCCATCATGACCCAGAAAAGCCGGTTTGCTTAAGAAAATGGGAGATGTACCAGCATCCCTGCAGGTGGTACGCTAAGATGGTCTGCAATAAGTAAATAGTGAGCAACCCGGAGTAAAAGAACAGTCATGTCTCACTGGCTTTCGTAAAATTTCCGAAAATAGACAAAATTCAAAACTGCTACTAGCATGAGAGAGTCCTGGCTGACCAGGCCCAAGGCTGTCTGTGTGTGTGTGTGTGCAGATGGCAGATAGAGCCACACAGACACAGCCGCTCTGTTGTTTTACTGGTAATCCCCTCATTTTTGTCAACGGCGTTAGCAACGCATGCCAGATGGAAATTGCTGGAGGCAATTGGAGAGATTGTGTGTGTGTGTGGAGGGGGGTGAGGGGCTGCTGTGCCTTGAATTCGCTGAAGCAGCAGGGCAGCAGGTGGACTGTGGGCATGCTACATCCGTGTCAATCAAGCGGTAAGCCCTGTCCCATCACCAATGATAAGGGAGCTCTTTAATGAGGAGGGGAACGGAGGGCATGATTAGTAAGACTCACGGGGCATCCATTCCACATAACCACTTGTTGAAACACTGCAAGTCTGTCCCAGGAAACAAAAGACACCAGTCAGGGATCACTGGGGACTAGATGCCAGTGCATCACAGGGCTCACAAGCAATAAGTGCAATTCGGAGACACTGCTTCATCTAAACCAGATCCCCCAAAAGAAAGTTGCACAAGCCCATGGGGATCTTAAATGCGAACTTTACATGCGGACATAAGGAGCTGGGTTAAGAATCAAGCCCCTCAATCACACAGCTCTGCTCAGACATCTGTGCACTTTAATCAGTTACATCTTATCTGCAAAAGGCGAAAGAAAAAAACCACACAGAGCAAAACACTGTGCTGCCCCCTGCAGTCAGACTGGGTAAGGCAGCATATTACTGCATATATAGGGAGATTCCGTGTGAGGAAGCCATTGCTGAAATTAGTGGTGGGATACAAATCATAGAAGACGGCAGTCATGTACTTATTGTAAGTGGGCTATTGTAGGGTAAATAAGCTGCATTCTATCACAAATTCAAAGTCAGAGAATTTAGTCAAACCTGCACAGTTTGTATCTCAGAGTGGCCACAAGGGGGCATTATAGCCTTGCCAAAAGTGAAAATCAGGGTACTCCCTCATCATCTAGACTAGAGGTAATGCTAAAGAACCATTGCATTAAATGTGTGTGTCTAGTTTACATTCAAGCCTGCCAAGTGAGAGGTTATTTGTGAAGTGCTGCAGTGAGGTGGAGGCTGAGCCTAATCTGTATCCCTGCTCACCTGCCAAAAATCACCTGCCCAGGTCCTGGACTTTACATCTCTCTGTGTTTGTTGCTCAATTTAATACAAGGATGATTTATCAGTAAGGCAGTGCAGCTGGTGCTATTTCCAAAACAAGAGGCCAATACTGACAAAATCAATTAATGATCATAAACTAATAACAATAAAAATGGAATCTACGATGAATTATGAGAGCAGCAGCAAAAAAAAAATCACTAAAGAACCAAGAAAATACATGCAGTACTACAACATGGTATATCCTCCTGAGACCCAAGGGAAAAAGTGTCCTTAAATTTTAGGTTATTTGTCTTTGGAGGAAATAAGACATCTTACAATTTAGATTTTTTCAAATTTATTTTTATTTTTAATTTCACAGCATGTCCTCTTTAGTGTACAACATGAATAAATACGTTTCCTTACATGAGTGAAAAGATAAATGCAAAAATAAAATGTCCACTACAATGGACATAAATGAATGGGTGGGGTCTCAGGAGGATATTGTGTGTATATACATAGCTTATTCTGTACATAGTGTGTGTAATATGCTCATATATGTACAGACGCTCGTGTAAATACATGTTTGCATATATGAATACATTACTCCTAGTCTTCATTAGGCACCAACATTGGCATTTAGAGAATGCCACAGAGTGGGGTGTCTACTATTGCAATACTGTAGCTTGGCATTAGGGTCAGGGTTAGGGCTCGGATAGGGTTAGATTCAGCATCAGGATTGGGGTTAGGATTGGCATTACGGTTAAGGCTAGGGTCATGTTTGGACTTAATATACAAATCGGATTTGGAAATTACTTTGAGCTCCACCGAATATCCACCAAAGGGAAATATACAACAAACAAACATGCTTTATTTGCCATTTGCACAAGTATAGGTACATTGGAATTCTTTTTTTCACTGACCCCATCTTGCTTTCCTTAGCTTGGGGGTCACAGTGCAGCACCCCCTGGAGCTGGGGGGTTAAAGGCCTTCCTCAAGGGCCTATGGACATGTGGCTGTTCTACCAAGGCAGGGCTCAAACCAGCAATCTTCTGACCAGAGGCATAAAGACTGAGCCACTCACTACCAAAAATGATACAGGCCACAGGCCAGCCTTGCTGCTCTACCGGGAGGGGTGTCAGGTTCTGAACCACTCACACAACCCTTTGAGCTAATCTGATAACCTGTTGGAACTTAAATCTTTGTAAATATCACCCTAATGAAACTCAAAATTTAGTTATTGGCAAAAATTACGGCAAGCACGTCTAACAGGAAAAAGCTTAATTGTGATACATACAGTATACAGCTTTTTTTTCCCCAAGAAACATTTTAATTAACAAGCAATAATATATTTCAAACAATGAAGTACAATACATATATAAACCAGCATAATACCAAAAAACAAGGAAAGAATATTACTATGCTAATTACTTACTGATAATTATCCATCAATCCATCCATTTCCTGAAACTGCTTAATCCCAACTGGGGTTGTGGGGGGGGGGATCAGAGCTTATCCTGGGAACAATGGGCATAGGTGGGAACCAACCCTGGGCAGATGCTAACCACTGCGCCACCACTCCACCTCTCACTGGTAGTTATAATAATTTATAACTAAGAAGTAAATCATTAAAGTGGTGCTATATACTGTAGTTTAAACATATTAATACAATGGAACCAGTTTGGCTTACCTCTAGACCATTTTATCTTGAGAATATGAATAAAATTTACCCAGTATCATAAAAAGCTGTGCTACAGAACAAACTTTACTGTCCACAATTTGTGTTCCAAATGCCATAACCAGTTAACCAATCACTAAGGACTAGGGGCAACAATGAATAGTTGAGGGTCATTAACAATCATAAGGCATTAAAGAATCAAACACCAGAAAATGCTGGCACAGGAGAAACGGCAATAATCAGGAATTACAACACAAGATAAAAAACAAGGGGAAATCAAAACTCAAAAGCCCAGCCTACAATGGTAAGAGATGCTTGAATTTCATGTTGTGTTCAATTTGAACTCAGATGTTAGAGTTTCCAGTTCCTCTGAAATTTAAACTGGAATGTCCTTTGAAGTTGGAGTTCTGAGTCAACTCCGACCTCAGAATTCAACATGGTTGCGCCCTTTATCAACTGATGTGAACAGTGTAATTTAATACTGTTTATTCGCACTGATGTCTTATTTGTGGCTCATTAAATCGGTCATGCACAGTATTGTCCAACCGCTATCTGTGGTCTTGTTGGTATGGTGTTTGTATACACAAAATGCTAACTGGTCAGCCGCAGGCTCACCCCATTCAGCCACACGGTGGCCCAGTTCATAGGGTAACACACTAGGACCTGTGAAACGCACAAGACTAGGGGAAATGGAATGGGATGGCCAGCAACATCAGTTGTCCAAACAGGGAAACAGACAGGACCAGCCAGGAACTGATCCTGACAGAAATAGTCGGACTGGGTTTAATTTTATGTTTGATGTACCTATTAGGACATT